AGTATGTCTGTTCACCTACTCTTTTAACAGAGTACCTAACCATACAATAAGGTAAGAAAAAGAAGGCATAAAGATTGGAAAGGAAGAATAAAACTCTCTATTTGTAGATGTCATATATAAAAAAAATCCTAAGATAGCCACAAAAAAATCTACTAGAGCTAATAAAGAGGTCCGCAAGGTTGCAGATACACAATTATATTTCTAAACACCAGCAGTGAGCAATCTAAAAATGAAATTAAGCAAGCAATTCCATGTATGACAATATGAAAAAGAATAAAATATTTAGGAATAAATTTAACAAAAGACTTATACTTGGAAATTTACAAAACACTGTTAAGAGAAATTTTAAAAGACCTAAGTAAACAGAAAGATGTCCCATGTTCAGCTACTGAAGAGTTAATGTTGCTAAGATGGCAATACTCCCAAAATTGATCTGCAGATTTAAAGCAATTCTTTTTAAAAATCTCAGCTGGCTTTTTTTTTTTTTTTAAATTGGCAAACTGATCCTAAAACTCATATGGAAATCCAAGGAACCCAGAATAGCCAAAACAATCCTTAAAGAGAAGACCAAAGTATAAAGACTCACACTTTCAATTCTAAAACTTAACTACAATGCTATAGTATACAAGATAATTTGGTACCGGCATACAGATAAACATATAGATCAATGGAAGAGAACTGAGAATCCAGAAATAAACCCAACATCTATGGTCAATTGATTTTTGACAACATTGACAGGATGGTTCAATGGGGAAAGAAGAGTGTTTTCAACAAACAGTGTTGAGAAAACTGGACAGCCACATGCAAAATTTGACACCCACCTCATACAATATAAAAAATTAACCCAAAATGGATTAAAAAAAAAAAAGAACTAAGTGTAAAAACTAAAACTATAAAACTCTTAGAAGGAAATGTAGAAGTAAATCTTTGTGACCTTGGATTAGGCAACAGCAACTTAGTTATGACACTAAAAGCACAAGTAATCAAAGAAAAAATAAATTGTACTTTACCCAGATTTAAAACTTTCGTGCATCAAAGGACACTATCAAGGTGAAAGACAACCCACAGAGTGAGAGAAATAACTGCAAATCATATATGACAGTAAGAGTCTAATGTACAAAATATATTAAAAAAAAAACTCTTACAACTCAGTAACAAAAGGACAACCATTTTTTAAAAATGGCTGCAGCATGTGAATAGACGTGTCTGCAAAGAAGATATAACAAATGGACAATAAGCACATGAAAATATGCTCAACATCATTAGTCATTAGGGAAATGCAGATCAAACCCACAATGAGGTATGACTTCACATCCACTAGGATGGCTATAATTTAAAAAAAATAAAAAAGTGAATATGTGACAAACTGGAATCCTCATACATTGCTGGTAGGAATATAAACTGGTGCAGGGAACTGTGGAAAACAGTTGGGCAGTTCCTCAAAATGTTAAACACACAGTCACCATATGACCCAGGAATTCCACTCCAACATACACACCCGAGAATTGAAAATATACTTTCACACATAAATTTGTTCTAGAATGGTCATAGCAACATTATTCATAACAGACAAATAGAAACAACCCAAATGTCTACCAGCTGATGAAGAGATAAACAAATTGTGGCATATCTTATATAATGGAATATTATTCCATCAAAAAAAGGAATGAGATATTGATAAATGCTACAGTGTGGATGCATTTCAAAAGCCCGATACGAAAGTCCACATAATTTATGATTCCATTTTTTTGAAATGTCTCCAAAGAGACAGAAAGTAGATTAGTGGTTGCTGAGGACTAAAAGTGGAGATACTGGGGAGTAACTTCTTAATGGTTATGGGGTTTTTTTTAAGGGTGATGAAATATTCTGGAATTACTGGTGATGGCTGTACAATACTGTGAATATATTAAAATCCACTAAATTGTATACTTTGAAATGGCTAAAATGGTAAATTTTATGGTATGTGAATTTTATCATAAATAGGCAGTAGGTAAAACGTCACTTAACTGAAAAGTACATTACTCCTCAGTTGTTATTTGAAATGTTAGATGTGTGTCAAATCTTCATAAAAGTATGGTTCCAAAATTCTAGATCCTCATGATAGATGTACACTGATACCAATTCATTCATTTATTATGCTTACAACTCATGGGCTCAAGTGATCCTCCTGCCTCAGCCTCCTGAGTAGCCGGCACTACAGGTGCGAGCTACCATGCCCAGCTAATTTTTTTCTATTTTTAGTAGAGACGGGTTCTCACTCTTGCTCAGGCTGGTCTTGAACTCCTGAGCTCAAGCAATCCTCCCGCCTTGGCCTCCCAGAGTGCTAGGATTACAAGGGTGAGCCACCACGCCCGGCCGAAACCTGACTTTTACATCAGCATCTATAGCAGAGAATTTGTAAAACCTGAATCGATTATTTCTAAGGGCCTTTAGAAATCATTTAGAAACTGCCAAAATGAATCTAATGTCAAAAAAACTTTTCATGTATCAATATTAGAAGTGTTTATCTTGTTTTAAGAAGACATCTGTAATTGATAATGACCACAACCAGCATAACACATTCTTACCTTAAATCACTGCAAATTTAATGGGATCGACTAGGCATTTTTTATAGTCTACATCAAATGGTTTAGTTTTGGAAGTTTTATAACCTGGAATCACTAAGTTTTGCATATCAATAAAGGTCCAAAAAGATGCTCTGTGGAAATACCTAAGAATTTTAAGATAAAAATTCAGTTTACCTGAATCAATTTTAGTTTAGCAGAGTAAATTCTTTGTTAAACACCAGCAAATTCTCACATTTGGGAATCAGAATCTCACTGTATATCAACACCAGGATGAGCGACAGGAGAAAGAGACCAGCACTTGGAACTGGCCACTGGCTGGAAAAGCCAACATCTCCGGACAGCTCTAATTAACAAATTTGTAATTAACACACGTAACTTAAGGTAAAAAGATGAATCACTAGCAACCATTTCCTCAGATTAGAAAAGACAAAGAAAGCTGCTTGAATAAATAGAGTCCTCAGATGTTCAATGTCCCAAACAGCAATAAAAGACTCTTAAGGGGCTTCATGTTACAATGATAGTGACCATTCTACAAAATCTGAAATAATACAATAAGAGGGTAGAAATTAAAATAATTTCCAAGAAAGGATTATCTTTAAAAGACTATTAAATTCAATAAGCTGTGTCTATTTCTATTATCAAATCAATAAATATTAACATTTCCCACAATTGACTAATTCCAAAATGAATAAAGGAAAATAAGAAGAAAGACATTTACCTCTTCTAAGCTAGGGAGCGAAGAAGAAGATACTGTTCGAGATGACAATGGGTGAAATGGCTCTTGACCAATAGCCTGTTGATGATTCTGTAATTGTACAAAAGGGTTTTGTGGTGGCCTGTGAGGCAATGGAGGTAGGCCATAGGGAAAGCCAGGCCCCATTAGGTGATTCTGTTGCAAGTTAGCAAAAGTCCATGCTCCATCAGGTGCCAGGTATTTCAGGGGAGGAGGGGCAAGGTGTTCAGATGGCAACGAGAAAGGAGAGCTGAATATCTGGGGTGGGAGGCGCTGCGGAAATGCTTGGTTGTTGGCTACTTCAATGTCTCTGCTGTTGTCATTAAAGTTAGAAAAGTGGCTACTGTGGTCTGTACCGGATGGGGGAGACGGGACTGCTGGTGGGCTCCTAGTCTGCACTTGTCTGTATTGCAAAAGTCTTGATTGAGGTGGTGGCATTTCAGCTAGTTCCCGTGTTTCACTTTGATCACGATGAGACAGTTCTCTGAGTAAGTCTTGAAACCTACATGAAAATGATGAAATATGAGGAAAAAACAAAAGAAAGGCTCCATCACATTAAGGAGAGCTTAGCCAACTACACGTGTGATTTCTACAAACAAAATCATAATACTAGTAAGAACTAGCATTAATTAATCTCAAATGTAAGCATTAACACTCAATAGATGCTGAATTGAAGACATTAAATATCCTAAATTACCTGATTTCTTCTTTTTCCCTTTGTATTAAAAACACCTGTCTTTGTCTCTGTACTCCTTTGAAAACTGGAAATTAGAAAGGTCACCCTGATGGTGGACCTTATTCAGAAAGGATTAGGAAACATTTCATGGTATTCACATGACACTGGCCATAAAAACAAGCTTAGAGTTAGGACCAAACACAAGTAGCTGTAACTATAAAAAGGTAGAATTCTGTGCAACTAGAAAAAAATTAATGATAAATCTGTAATTTTTAACTTTTAATCACTAGCTTACTTTTGTCCTTATTCATTCTTTATAAGTATTATTACTAAATATGAACACCCACAATGCGGCTATGATTTCCTTGCAGAAGAGACCATAAAGCGAGGGGCCAAGTTAACTTACAAACCAAAGTAGATCATCCATGCCTAGATTTGTACAAGAGTTACTTCAGAACAAATTCTCTGCATTTTAGAGTAAATGAAGGAAACTTTGCAGCCTGGGCCTGGAAGGCCTGCATCTAATTTCTTAGAGGCAATATTCCACCTTGAAGCTAAAAGGACTACCTTCAAGGGAAAAGAACACCGTGGGGTCATGTCCTAGAGGCCATTTTCAGTCTGTTGGGATACCTTGAATATGTTGTTTCTGCTTCGTCTTCGGCACTGCTGGTGAGCTTCCAGTCTGCCCTCACGGGTGGCTGATGTAGCCCTAGGGGTGGCCGAGGAAGACGCTGGAGGTGGGGGTGGTGCTGGTGCGGGTACGGAATACCGCCCTGACTGAGGCAGGCGTGATGCTCGTCCCACTGCTGCAACCGTGCTCGCTGCTGCCTTAGCGATTCCAGAGCTGCACTCCCATGGATACGATCTGCAAAAATATTTGTGAAAGATTTAAGTTTTTATGCATTTGGGGATTTAAGTTAATTGTTCCAAGAGTTTTTACAAACAGATTTTCTCCACAAAGACAAAGAAATAGCTACAATGTGGTTTTGGTAGAAAGCAAATATTTTCTAAATTTGCCAAAAACCAGAGTTGTGATAATAATTATTCTTCCTCCGAAGCGGGAGGATTGCTTGAGCTCAGGAGTTCGAGACCAGCCTGAGCAAGAGGGAGACCCCGTCTCTACTATAAATGGAAAGAAATTAGCCAAACAACTGAAAATAGAAAAAATTAGCTGGGCACGGGGGTGCGTGCCTGTAGTCCCAGCTACTCGGGAGGCTGGCTTGAGCCCAGGAGTTTGAGGTTGCTGTGAGCTAGGCTGACGCCACGGCACTCACTCTAGCCCAGGCAAAAGAGTGAGACTATGTCTCAAAAAAAAAATAATAATTATTATTCTTCCTTACATACATAATGATGAACCTGACATCAACTGAATACTTCCTATTACACAGCATATGGAATTAGAATTGGATTATTACACAGAATGGTTGATTTTTGCTGGCATTCTTTGAAGAAATAAATCAATTCTGACCCAAATTAATATCGTGTAATACATGTCATTTTAAGTAAATAATCTGAATTTTTCACATCTAGCCGTAATAGGAAAACTTACCTAAAGCCTCTCCTATAGGTAATCCCGGTGGGTTCTCATCGATGAAGTTATTCAGATGTGAAGGAAGAATGGGGCCGGGCTGTGCAATGGCTCTCAGAGGGCTGTGGCCTTCTTGCAGCATGGGAGGGGGCTGCTGCTCAGGAATCACAGCCTCTGCAGCAGGAGACTGTGGTCGATGAGAAACTGCATTATTAAAAAAAGCGCTGTTGGGTCCTGCCTGATATGCAGGGGAAAGCTGAGGTGGCGGCTGCGGAGGCTGCTGGCTCAGCTGGTTCTGCTGCTGGACTACCTGATTTGGTTGAGGTGGCATTTGATTTGGTTGCTCAGGCAAATTATTCTGCTGCTGATTTAACAAGGTGTGCTGCTGCGGAATTGGGAACGGTGGTCTTGGTAGCTGGGGGAGGGGGTGGAAATGGCGATTAGGGATTGCATACTGTGCATGGGGAGCAGGAAGCGGAAGAGTTACGTGTCTTGGGTTGAGATTATCTTTGCGAGGAAATTTGGTATTGGGATAAATAACACCAGGACGTGATTCAGGACTTCTGTTCTGTGGATTTGATTCCAAATCAACCTAGAAGAAAATAAGAAGGCTTTTTTAACTGCAGAAAGGCTGAGTTCAGTGGCTCTCCACCTTTTCCCAACCCTAACACATCTGAAGGATAGGATACATTCTTATCAGTAACAGCAGGAGTGCTGGGTACCCACTCACTCACTTTCTCTCAATCAAATAAGGGAATATTTTTTAAATTAAAAAAGATGACAGAAAAAAACCAGCACATTAAATTTCAGTCATTATTAAATTTGAGTGGATTATTACCATATCCACTTTAATTCCTTTAAGAACATTATTTCTAATTTCACACTTTCTTCCTTTGAAATATAGCCATTTATTTCCTTCTGACATAAATCATTAAAATGTGTTCTTTCCTTCTGATTTTATTGTTTTTATACATCTAAAACTATTTTCTCAAACTTATCTATATTAATAAAAAGATGTGTCTCTATTAAAACAACTTTGAAATGAACAAACAAGTACTATATCACCGTTGTAGAACCTGTTTGGTTGTCAATTTTTGCCATTACCTATTGACATTCTTTCCTTTAACATTTATTGTGATCCTGCCAAGGACATTGTGCCTGGTGCTGACGATTAAAAAAGCAGTAAGAAGACTTGGCCTGTACCTTCAAGAGCCTGGAGAGTGGTCTGTAAACTATGGCCCCCCATACCATTTCTAACCCACCAGATAAAAAATAAAATTTTTTTTAAATAAAGTTTCCTCAGAACACAGCCACACTCACTCATTTACATATTGTCTATGGCTGCTTTGCACTACAATGACAGAGTTGAACAGCTGTGACAGAGACCATATGGTCTACAAATCCTAAGATTTACTAACTGGCTCTTTACAGAAAAACTTGCTAACCCCTGGCTTAGAGTCCAGTAGGAGATATCAACATGTAAACATATAATTGGAGATACTGTAAGAGGATATGATCGCAGTGCCTGAGAAAATTAAAGAAGGCTTCATGAAGGCTATGGCATTTGAGCTGAATCTTATAGGAAGAGCTAGAATATTCCAGGGAGGGAAGGACATTCCAGGTAAATGTATACAGCTTATGTAAAGGTTGGGAGAGGGGCAAAATATGGCAGATTTGGGGAGCATGAGAAGTTTTGTGTACAAAGAGCTATCACTTCACTTGTTTATATGTTAGTTTTCCCTTCTTGACATAAAATGAAACTACAAGAGCCCAATTACACAAGACCTTGAATGATGATAATACTGAGTATAAACACTGTTTTTAATTCCGTAAACGGTGGTAAACTACAAAAGGTTTTTAAGCTAGGGAGTGTTGTCATCCTTCTAAAATATAAGTTTGATCTTAAGTGATGCAAATGTGAAAAATGAATTATAAGGTAGAAAGAGGAAATTTTTCTTTTCCAGCTCTGTCAAAACACTCATTGAGCTGCTGTGGCATCTCAATCTCCTCACAAATTTCAGTGTTGAAATAGTCACTAAGGATTACAGAGTATTTGCCTCACCCAAGGCTCTCAAGTTAACCATGGAACTCACCGCTCCCAAGAAAACAGAACAAGTAGCTTGCTCCTGAATTGCAGCTGGGGTACAATTGGTGACCAACTTGTTGCAACAAATGGCTGTGATGCCAACTGTTCCCCAAGTGCATCCTCATCTCCAATCACCTAGCTCAAAGGGACTGCCATTAAATTTGGGCAATTTCAGGTCTTTAAGATTACTGGGTGTATATAAATTATCTAAGAAAAGAAGCGAGAAGGATGACAACTGTATCTAAGTTTTCCCAAGCAGCTATAATGCTTGCTCTTCAGATGCCTCAGAACCTGATGAAACTTCTTTATAAACAAACATTTTCCCCATAAATCTCCATCTTTTTAATGACTAAAGTTACATTCATCTGGGATATACTTTTTTTCAGAAGATAATGTCAATATGCATATTCTGAACACATGAGGAACACCATGATTAGATGTCAAGGTTGTCTGTGCAGAGACTCAAAAAAATAAAAATTAAAAACAAAAACAAAATATATGCAAAGAAACCTAGCTTCCATCCCTGTCCCTTCCATCTTATTCCCTCCCTCCTCATAAATAAATTTAAAACATTTTACGGTTTACGTACTTAAAAATATAAACAAATTTTGTTATGTATATACATACTTCGTTTTGAGATAAACAGTACTATACAATAAAAAAAGTTGTTGGTGAATAAGCTGTCATCTTAATTGTCTCCATCATTTCCGACTTTGACATAGGAAGCTAGGTCCACGTCTTAGAAATTTAGATCAGGACTATGCTACTCTACGATACCACAATGTGCTCGCAAAGCAGGACAGAGGACTGCAAGGTCTGAAGAAGCCTGTGTCTACTACTATCAGAATTAGGTCAGAATTAAATTCGCTTCTATCATTTTTCTCTTAATTCTGAGTCAAAGAGAGTTAGGAGTTCTTCTTTCTTCATTTTTCCTGGGCTTCAAGACAAAGTATCAGGTGGGAAAGAAATGAAACATGCTTTTCAGAATGCCAAGTCCTCTAACAGAGAAGAATCATAACAGAAATTTAAAAACAAGGACATGAGGGACACTTAGCTATCTTGGCTTCAGTTGCTCTGACAACACCTCAGACTCCTGTGACTGGTTTTGTCCGAGCTGCCTGCCTCTGACTGCATTTGCTGTTGGTGCTGGAGCACCGTCCTGACGTGCCATTGGTTCCCTCTCTGCACCCCTTCCCAAACATCACCACTCCTACTTTCACTGTAGGCCCCCTTTTATCTATCAAGAGGTTGCTTCATTCATACTGCACCTCCTCCAGGGTACTGAATCCTTTCAGAGGTAGAAACTGTGAGTCAGAGATGCTTATGGAACATAAGTAACTGCATATAGAAAATAACGGTTGCTTAAAGCTAGGCTGAGGTTGGAGATACAGATTTGGAAGTCATTATCATGAAGTGGGGAGTTAAAATCATGGATTGTACTTACTTATAATAAAAAACAGAATGCAAAGAGAAGTGGGACAATGGCAGAACGCTGGGAAATCCCAACTTAATGACTAAGGACAGATGAGGAAGAATGGACAGGAATTTATAAAAGAGACAGGTGGTCATGTTATAGAGAGTTGTGAAAAGTAGAAATATGTCAAAGAAAACAAAAGAAATAAGATGGTCAAAGACAGAAGTAGAAAATAGTGCCAAATACCAAACAAAGTCAAGTAAGACTACATTTGAAGTGTGTTCATAAGATGTGGTTACTTGGAGCTCCACAGTTTCAGTGAAATGTTGAGGCCTACTACTATGTGTGTTAAGGAACAAACAAGAGATGAGGTAGAAAGGAGATACTAGGCAGTAGCTATAAAGGAGATGAAGGTGAATGAAAGTCTCTTTTTTAAAAAGTCTATCTATTAATTTACTTACTTTAGGACAGAAGAGATATAAATATCTTACAGGCTGAGGAGGAAGAACCAGCAGCTGGAAAGGATCTAAAGATAAATGAGGGGGAGGGACAAGGTCTATAAGGTGACCGGAAGAGGAGAAATTAGTCTTCATAGGAACTCTTCCTCAGAGACCGCTGGTAAGAAAATAAGGATAATCAAGGCTTTTATAGAAAAAGTGATAAGCTTAAAGCTACACATGAACAGGATAAAATCCTGATGATGTAAGTCTAAGGCAAATTCACCTCCTGATATTAAGAATAATCGAAGGTGGAAGGTGATCAGCTTCAGAAGAGCCAACGAAAAAACTGGGCAAAAGGAGCTAGGAACATGTGAAAGAAATGCAGGAAAGCCCCATAGGTTCCACTGGGATGAGAGAACATGAATTTCCAGTGGCACTGATTCAACTAATGACGTGATTTCCCCTAACTGGTTCACAAGTGCATGAAAGCACAGAAAGTAGGTGAATGAACAGAGGATGAGTTAAGGATTTACACAGAGGCGTGATGAGAGAATAATGTGAGGGACGTGAGGCAGTTAAGACTTCTTTCTCACTGTAACAGCCCTTCCCATTCTGAGACAGTTTTCAATGACACATTTATAGCTTTCTCATCATTTACTACCTTATCATGGAGAGTCTCTAAATTCAAGTCTATCACTGACTAATGGAATTTGAGAAAGGTATACTGATAAATGCGATAACACAGCCAAAGAGAAGATGAGGGAGAGAGGGCAACATGATCCACTAGACCCCCGTAAAACAATAAACATAGCACATAAACGTAAAAAGGGAGATACTTTTCTTTAAAATATCAAGATTCCAAGATGATCGATCTGGCTCAGTCCGCTAGAATGACGCATTCACTAAATGTAAGCAGCGTACCTGTTTTGGTTCTGTAGGCTTTTTCTCTGGTGTTCTAATCTTATTAATTTCAGGTCCAGGATTATTTGTATCACTTTTACCTAAGAAAATATTTAAAAATCCTTATAAGTTTTCTCCAGTGAATGTGACATTTCCAATGACTATTCAATATTAGACAAAGAAGCAGAATACTTTAAACATTTTTCAACCATTGTTATTGATTTATATTACTACTTGGGTTTTGTTCTTAAATTTTCAGAGTTGTAGTTTCTCTGCAAGTAAGAAAATTTATAAATGAAGCAAACCTCATTGATAAGGGAAAGCGTAATAAGGGAATTACCTTAAAACATCAAATAATCCCAAAGGGAATTGCCCAATCTCCAGGAGTTTACAGCTTCATTTTCTTAAACTAGACATATTAAAGACCTTGGCATTCTTGCCTATTTTATGAAGGCTTAATTCATTGGTCATTTACAAATGCAATTAAGCGAAAATCCAAATAATGTGTCAGTCTAATTTAGTAAAGAAATCTAAACATAATAAAGATATATGGAAAGCAATGCAGTTATACTGTTTAAAAATAATAGATATCAAACTAAATATAAGTAGGTGATAAGTAGTACAGGAAGCAAAATTCAGGTTTAAAGAAAAGCACAGTTATAATAAACAAATAATTTCACACATGTGAAAGGCTTTTAATCTACAGGAATTAACTATTGGATAGTTTAATTCCTTGAAGGAATTCTCTATTTGGGTTCTTGTTCAAAAACATTCTTTTAGGAATGCCACTGGAACTTTGTAAAATGAACTATCATGCCAAAACAGCCTTACCAATAAACTTTAAGAAATGAAAACTACAATGTCTGAAATGAAAAATACACTGGATGGAATTGGCAGCACAATACACATTGCAGAAGAAAAACCTGGCAAACTTGGAAGGCACAGCAATAGAAACTACCCGAAATGAAACATAGAGAGAAAAAAAATAATTTAAAAAATAATAAGCATCCACAAACTGCCTGGGCAAGGCGACTCACATCTGTAATCCTAGCATTTTGGGAGGCCAAGATGGGAGGATCTCTTGAGGCCAAGAGTTCAAGATCAGCCTGAGAAACATAGCAACAACCCATCTCTACAAAAAATTTAAAAATTAGCTGGGCATGGTGGCATATACCTGTTGTCCCCAGAGGGTGAGAGAGGAGGATTGCTTGCTCCAGCCCAGGAGTTTGAGGGCTACAGTGAGCTATGATGATGCCACTGCACTCTAGCCCAGGCAACAGAGTGAGATATGATCTAAATTAAAAAAAACAAAAACAACAACAACAACGACAAAAAAAAACATCCAAAAACTGTGGGAAACCTTTAAGCATCCTAATATACGGGTAATTAGAATGCCTGAAGAAGAGGGGTGGGGGTGAGACCAAAAAAAAAAAATCTGAAAAGATATAAAGGTTGAAAATTTCTAAGCTTGATGAAAACTATAAACCCAAAGATTTGAAAAGCACAATAAACCCCAAACACAAGAAACATGAAGAAAACTACACCAAGGCATATCATAATCAAGTTGTCAAAACCAATATAAGAAGAAAATTTTGGTCAGGTGCAGTGGCTCATGCCTGTAAACCTAGCACTTTGGGAGGCTGAGGTACAAGGATTTCTTGAGGCCAGGAGTTTGAGACCAGCCTGAGAACAAATGAGACCCCATCTCTACAAAAAATAGAAAAATTAACTGGGCATGGTGGCATGTGTCTATAGTCCCAGCTGCTCAGGAGGCTGAGATAGGAGGATCACTGGAGACCAGGAGTTTTGAGGTTGCAGTGAGCTAAGATGATGCCACTGTACTCTAGCCCAGGTGATAGAGTGAGATTTTGTCTAAAAAAAAGAAAATCTTTAAAGTAGCTGGAGGAAAAAATACATGTTACATATAGAAAAACAAGGATAAGGATGACATCAGATTTCTCATTGGAAACAAAGCAAGTGAGAAAATAGAACATCAGTAAAGTAATAAATAATCAGAAATGACCAACCAAGAATTCCATGCCCTGTAAAAATATCTCTCAAAAATGAAAGTGAAATAAAGATATTTTCAGGCACATAAAAGCTGAAAGAATTCATCGGGTGCAGACCTGCACTATAAGGAATGTTAAAAGAAGTCCTTCAGGCAGAAGGAAAATTATATCAGATGGAAACATGGATATGCAGTAAGAAAGAAAGATTAATAGAAATGGTAACTACATGGCAAATATATAACATTATTTTTCTTTTGATTTACAACTCTTTTACTTTGTTCACTTAACTTAATGCTTTTGCTATTCCTTCAGGTTGTATGTGTCAGTTTGTTCCTTTTTACTCTTGATTAGTATTCTATCATATGGATACACCACCATGTGCTTATCCATTTATCAATTGATACACACATTAGATATATCTAATTTTTGGCTTTTTAAAATAACACTGCTACAAACGTACGTTTTATTTCTTTTGGGTAAATACCGAGGAGTGAGATTGCAATGCAACTCACCATTTCGATTTTGTTCATGTTGATCCTTCTCCTGATGCGGATTTTGTGGCTGCCCTATGCTGACAGGCGGATGATGTCCAAGGCCATAAGGTATAGGAGATCCCCGTCCATGTGTTTGTAATAGGTTCATATTATAGGCCATCGCTGCCTGATGTGTAATAATTCGAGGATCAACTGCAAACCTACCCTGGTATCCTGTCCATGGTACCTAGGTCATCACAAGAAATACAATAATTACATTAATCACATTTTGGAAGGCAAACTGCTGTAGTGCTGTTGATTAGGAAAAAGCAAACATGCACACAGAGATGTTAATTTTATCAAAATGAATAACTACAAAGTTGGTGCTAATAGTACAACTGGCAGATATTGCTGTCTTAACTGGCCAGAAAATTAGCTCCCTGTATGTTTAGTATGTAAGGGAAAATGGATCGTTTTTCAGGTTAGAAAAAAAGAGAGCTTAACTATTCCTTGAGGCATTAAATCATTTTGTAGTCTTTAATCATTTCCCCTCAATGTGAATGTATACACATGACAGATTACCATAAAAATTGTCTTTTTAAGTCATAGCTACATAGTTATTTACACAGTTTAATAGACTGAGTAAGAGAACGGGGGAAAAGTTAAGAAAGAATTTAGCCTCAAAAAATAGGTATCCCAACTTAATATGAATAAGCAAATCATTTAATGAACATTTATTATAGATAAAATTCAAACATGTCATTACTTTAATTGATGTTTTAGATTAATTCAATTCTACCTTAAAACACAGAAACAGAAAACTTGTATAGGTGTGTCTAGATATGTAATCTCTCATATTAACATAAAAGGAATAAACACAATGACATCTGAGCTACTGTCACTATCATTTTATCACAATATAACTATTAAATTCAGACTCTTGGAAATCTTATAAAATAAAAGCCCCTTTGACCTAGTTAAGTGAAATATAATAACCTAAGGGACTTACTATTTAAAGCAGATGATGTATAATGGTATCAGGCAGTCTGGGAAGAAATAACTCAGCTAAAATCTAAGGTCTAAAGTCTATGGGGAGCGAGCACAAATTACATATTTCTTACTGACGGTCATTCCCCTTGGCTGCCATGATTGTGGACTATCATGACCAACATGGCTGAGAGATGTTTGCAGCTAAGCATTTTTCCGTTTTGAGGTGTGGGCAGGAGTGCCAAAGATCTGTGGTAATGATCACCTCTGCCTAAAATTACAGTATTTGCCTTAAATGAATGAAATTATTTCCTAGGATAAAACTCCTGGATTGGAAATATTCATATATCAGCAAATTAACAAAATATTCAAAAATCTTAAAGTAAATAAAAATGAGTTTATATATTAATATAAGATGGAAGCCTTCTAAAAATCTATAGTCTAAGAAAGGATTCAGCATTGTTTTTAAGTAGCAGTAAGATTTTCTTAAGGCATGAAATTTCTCTGATAAATTTAGATCCCAGAGAACTAAACTAATCCAAGCCTCTTTGCCTCCTCTAATCAACTGTATTTCTTGGGAAGAGTTTGTGACTTATGCAAAGATAAAAAGTAAAAGATAAAATAAAAACATCATTTTACAAAACAAGAGATCAATTTACTAGCTCTGTTAACTATTAGCCCAATTTTCCTCAGTAAAATATTTAGAATACAAAAGGGCCAGCCACAAAGGGTGGCTCTATTTTCTAAAAATAGAAAAATTAGCTGGGCATGGTGGCAGGCCCCTGTAGTCCCAGCTACTCAGGAGGCTGAGGCAGGAGGATTGCTTGAGCCCAGGAGTTTGAGGTTGCAGCGAGCTATGATGATGCCACTGCATTCTAGTCAGGGTGACAGAGTGAGACTCTGTCCCTATCTCAAAAAAAAAAAGGGGGTGGGGGAGTGGGGGCAGAAGAAAAAGAAAAAGAAGAAGAATACAAGGCTTCTAAATCTCCAATTTATAGATTTCTTCATAATTACTGATAATCTAGTAACAAATTGTAAGCAACACTTCACACTTCTTTGGTTATTTCAAATTTGAATGTTAAAGATAAGAGTTGCTTTCAAAGAAGCTTTTGGGCATTGAAAAGTTAAAAAAATAAAGAGAGAGAGAGAGAGGTTGGTGGAAGACTATTTGGAATTGTCATCAATTTAGTGAAGCCTATTTTACTTTATTTAATAGAAAATATTTCAAATGTCCACTTACAGGTAAAGGCACCGACATAACTACATTCCCTCCATAGACAGCAGGTACATAAAGAATACTTGTCCCAGTGTGAGGATCTATTCTTTGAACGGGGCTTGGAGATTTTCCCAAATTTGGGTGAGGTCCAAGAGGGGGTGGAGGAGTATATGCTCTAATAGGATTGCCAATAAGTACGGAAGGATTGGGCTGAACTGAAAAATAAACAGAAAAAGGATACACTCAGTAGCTGTACATACTCACCTAGACAACAATAATTTAAATCATCCTGCAGCAAAATATACTTCCCAGGTTTGCCATGAGGTATCTTATAATCAAAGAATTATCAGTGTAGAAGAGTAAAGCATTTTAGAAACATAACTATTTTACATAACTTGAGCTATACGAAGTTTCCCTTTTATAAACCAGCATAATTGTAAAATGTCTTCTGAGGAGCTGGAGATGTGTATTTCAATAGAGAAAATCATGCACACACTCTCAGTAAGAAGTCTTCTAAGACTAAGGAAACATACAATTCTTCAGAATAAAGCTTTGACCTGCCATTGTAACATAGCCACTATAAAATGAATTATTATTTTAAAAGCATAATTCTGCAACATCTAAAACCATTTAAATAAACTTAATCTTGAAACTTGTATGACCCGACATTTGTAGGAGATAAATGTTTTCTAAAAACTTATGTTGCATAAACTGCTCAAATGTTTTTCCTCAAAACCTCAGGATATGTACATTGATGCCTACAAAATCATTCCTTTTCAGAAATGACGTATCAATGCATCGGTAAGACCAGATGTGTTGAATAAAAGAATTAATTGAGGTTCCAAAGTGACTGCCTCTGTGTGTGTGCATGTGAGAGAGACTATTATCTCCCTATCCTCCTCTTTCTCATGGTGAAATTTGGGATAAATCCTTTACATCATAAAAGCAAGTTTTGGCCGGGCGCAGTGGCTCATGCCTATAATCCTAGCACTCTGGGAGGCTGAGGTGGGTAGATCATTTGAGCTCAGGAGTTCGAGACCAGCCTGAGCAAGAGCGAGATCCCGTCTCTACTAAAAAAATAGAAAGAAATTAGCTGGACAACTAAAAACATATATATATACAAAAAAAAAAAATTAGCCGGGCATGGTGGCACATGCCTGTAGTCCCAGCTGCTTGGGAGGCTGAGGCAGTAGGATTGCTTGAGCCCAGAAGTCTGAGGTTGCTGTGAGCTAGGTTGATGCCACAGCACTCTAGCCCGGGCAACAGAGTGAGACTCCGTCTCAAAAAAAATAAATAAATAAAATAAAATAATAAATAAATAAAAGTACGTTTTGATAGGGTTAATTTGTCTACTTACCAATTCCATCACTCTGAAAATGATCATTCTGAGTATGATGGAGGCTTTTCCCCTTTAAAGAAAAATACAAATGTATAATAATTTAAATATGTTTAATATAGAGAACAATAACCATTTTCCTAATCATATGCAAATTAAATGTATACATCAACAATTGAAATTTAAAAACTGAGTCTGTAATTAACAACTATTAGTCTGCTTTGAGCCTACTTTCTTTTTAAACATTAGGTCATGACCATCTCAATATTGCTGGGCCTCAAGTTTTCTCAGTTTCAAATTAAGGGTATCTAAAATTCTTTTTTTTAAATGAATTTTTTCATAAAAAGAAATACGCAATCAACATGACTCAAAACTAAATTCTATTCCTTTGCAGCTTCTCTACAAATTTTCTAAGAATTAAATGACCAAACCCAAAAATTGTTTTTCAAAGGAAAAATGTCAATCTTCAATTCTTGAGGATGAGAATTTTTTAAACGTGGTTTGGAATTTATGATATTTTTAGTAGAATTTATAGTATATTAACATATAAAATTTACTAATAATTCAATTGAGAGAGAATCTAGCTAATTGCTAAATAGCAATATGGCAATATATATCAAGAGCATCAAAAATGTACATACTTTAACCCAGTGATTGCCCTTCTAAGAATTTATCCAAATGTAGTAGTCATGGATTTGTGCACAGGTATCCATCACAGCACGGTTTACATGAGTACTAAATGTCCATCAATGGAGGATTTATTAAATAAGCAATGACAAATTCATATAATAGTATATTATATATTAGTCTACCACTCAAAATGATGACATTTGGACAGAAACAATATTTGAAGAGACAATGTTTCTGAATTTCTGGACTTTAGGAAAAATTCTTTCTCTTCCGTTTGACTAAGTGTAACACATATCAAGCCAACTGAGGAAAAGTAGCACATTAGGCAACTTACCTCTAGACACACACAAATTTGTTATTTGTACATTATATCTGCAAACTAAAGAGGGGGTTATGTCTATAAGCAGGAAGAATTCAATCTCGACCAAAGCAAAAATACAATGATGTTTCATTTATCTACTTTTTTTAACTATCAGAAACATCAAATCTTCAGAGCAGCAGTAAACGCTGAAGGTTTACTGGTTATGACTGGGCAAGGGCACTAGGATCTAACTCTTAAAGTCAGAAAAAGTAGCCGCAAAAGAATCATGGTTGATCCATTAACCAAAAGAGAAAAAATGTTCACAGGGATTAGTACCAGCTACAAAAAACAAACTTCTGAGGATTAGAAAAGTGATAAGAAAAGCAGGCAGAAAAAAGGAGAAAAGTAAAAAGGAGAAAATGGCAAACATCCAGACGGCAGGAGGGGGAAGATCAGAAGCATAAGCAATTAGAAGCAACAACAAGAGCAACCACTGGCACGTACACTAACAGAAGAAAGGACAGCCAGTGACACAAACAGAAGATAAGATAGTTCCAAGAGGGTGACAAACCATTTCGATTTCTTAGTCTCTAAACCTATCTTTGTAACTTGCTAAGGACCCATCAACCAGGGATGACTGTAGAGCATGTGGAGAAAACACAGCAATTTAGTCAGAGTGTGGTGTAGAATCGCCCTCTGAAAGATGCCCATGCCCCAATCCCTGGATCCTGTGAATATGTCATGTTATGTGGCAAAAGGGACTCTGCAAATATAATTAAACTTATGAATTTAAAATAGGGAGATTATCCTGGATTAGCTGGGTGAGCCCTAATCATGTGAGCCCTAAAAGCGAGAAATTTCTCTGGCTGGAGTCAGAGAGATGCAGCAGAAGAGGAATTAAGAGAGATTCTGAGGAAGAGAAGGACTCAATGCACCATTGCTGGCTTTGAGATGTTGGGAACACATTCAGGAACTAGTGAGAGGCCTCTAGAAGCTAAGTATGACTCCCTGTTGACAGCCAGCAAGGAAACAAGGGCATCAGTCCTACAACCACAAGGCGCTAGTTTCTACCAACAACCAGCATGAGCTTGGAAGCAGATTCTTCCAAGAGCTCCAGATCAGAGCCCAGTCAGTCAGCACCTTGATGCAGCCTTGTGGAATCCAGAGCAGAGAAACCAACAAGGCCAACCCAGACATCTGACCTACAGAACTGTGAGATAATAAATTTGTGTTGTTTTTAAGTCTCTACATTTGTGCTAATTCATTATAGCAGTAATAGGAAACAAATACAAAGAGTAACCACAGTCTAGGGTAATCTATAATGTAAAACAGGAAGCATGCTAGACAATATACATTAGCACTGTAGGTGCTGTGTGGCATTCTAAATCAGCAGTCCCCAACTTTTTTGGCACCAGGGACCATTTTCATGGAAGACAATTTTTCCACGGACTGGGAGGATGGTTTCAGGATGATTCAAGTGCATTACATTTATCATACACTTTACTCTTATTACATTGTAATATATAATGAAATAATTATACAACTCATCGTAGGTTGGGGAACCCTGTTCTAAATGAAAAAAAGCAAACTGGGGTCTAACACGTAAAAAGATAGTAGCATGTCCACAAGTATAACTCAGGACTCTACACGGTTCAATTACAGGATACAATCCTTTAGTACACTGTATTTTGACTTACCAAGTAACTACAGAACAGTAAATTTACTTGGTTTATATAAAATATACAGTGTTTGGTAGCTTATAAACAAAATAATAATAATAGAAGCTAGAGCTAACTATATATAAAAGTCATTCCATAATATTAATAATTCCGAACTAATTTCATTCTGCTAATAAATCTCAGAAAGTAGTATACCTTTGGTAAGATGCTAATTAATGCCATGATTTTTATAAGCAAATGTAGTTCATATCACCTACCATTTATTCATTCAAATATTTACTTTTTCATTCACTCATTCATTTTTTTCCATTTATTCATTCAACAAATATTTACTGAGGGCCCACCATATGTCCAGCCTGGCTGGGCACTGAGGCTACTGAGGTAAACAAGACTGACACATTTTCTGATGACTAGACAGTGAGACACATGAGCAGCTGGATATAGATGGTGAAAAACAACGAACAAACTAAAATCCATAAAATAATGCCACAGTCTTCAGAGGACCCATTTTGAATATTAGCTATCCTCTGAGTAGTTTTTATAGTGTGTGCAAATGAAACTGGCCCATTTTAGTAAAGTTTCCAAACGTTGCTCCAAGCAAATGCCCTAGGAGTAGGCAGAATGAGACAGGCCAATTGTTTTTCTACGTGCTACTTCTGCAGGCTCATGTGAAATATACCCTTTCCTGTAAATGATGCTTGGAGAGAATGAACCAATTCAGGTCTAGGACTACACTCATAGATCCCCTAATTTTTTGTACCTTGGCTAAACCTTATCACAGGACTGAAGTCTTAGTGAGGACAATAAAGTTCTTTGATTGCTAGGGGTATGTTTTGTTGCCAAATACAGCCTTGAAAAAGCAGGTCTCAGAGTATTTTTAACCATCATTCAGCCTTCTGATGATTTTATCCACATGAAATCTTATTGAGATTTTAAATCTTATTCTAACATTAAGGATACCAATTTTTAATATTTTTTATATACAGAATTATGTTAAAATTAAGGAAACTTGAAAAAAAATTGTGTGGCTTAGTATCACATTTTCAGAAACATAATCTTTTTCTACTAAAGAAATAAATCACCCTTCATCAAAAGATGCTAGCACATGAAAATAATTGGAATTTGTTTCAAAATTCTCCAGTGTGTATATGTGGTCGTGGTGGGGTAAGGCAAGTGGGATATAAGCTAAACAAGTTGATCTTAATGAAACCGGATGGCAGGGATTGATTCATTATACTACTCTCTCTACTTATGCACATTTTTGAAATTTTCTGCAATAGAAAATTAAATTTAAAAAGACTCCAATACAAGTTCAAACCTCGCAAAACAATTTAATTAAAGTAAAATAAAATGTTGGGCAAGGAGCGTGATATGGTAACAAAGATAACCTGTGGCTCACTATACCTCAGTTACGTAAAATTATTGATTATTGAGATAATTTTAAATTACCACGTGCATGGATAATTTGGTGAATCACTGTGTTAGTGACAGAAAATAACAGAGGACATCTATAAGATTAGTGAAGAAAATTTTCTTAAAAGTTTAAAAAAAATTGGGGGGAGATGACTGCTTTGGCCTTTAATTACACAATCTTATACTGAAAGGAAAAAAGCCACATTACACTGTACCGGATGCACCACAACCATTATTCACTTATCAGATACTTACTGAGCACCCACTGTGTACAAAAAGTGGGGCTAGCCACTAGGGGTCATAAAAAGTACATAGAATAGGATTTTTGTCCTCAGGGAGTTTATGGTTCTAGAAAAGCAAGTAGAGTCAACATATTCTTCACCTTTAAAACAAAAACAAAAGGCTAATTGTAGGATCTTGCTTAGGGTCAGTATGCATTTGGTATCATGGCTTGAATCTAGCTTCATCTACAGTATACTAACTGATGCTTATATTCCTCAATTAAGTAAAGAGTTTACTGGAATTCCTCTACCTTATTTAAGAATGTGTAAAAGGGTATGATTGTGCAACATTTTAAATAAAGAACAACAAAGTTTAAAAGTTTCTGCCTAGGTTTCCTAGTCTTCACACACTCTAGCTATTCGCTGTCCCTTATAGACATGTCCCCTATTCTCTCATAACCCTCTCATCTTTTGGAAAAGCTCTTTCTTATGCTTCACTCATTCATTTAAAAAATACTTCTAAGCAGCCAGATATTGCTCTAGACACAAAGGTGAGAGCAGTGAATACTACAAGCAAAAATCTCTAACCTAACTGCGCTTATCTACTAATTTTGACACGTTTTCCCCAATCTCCACTACCTCCATCCACTCAATAATCTCCTGAACAACATCTTCCAATTCAAAGCAGAAATTGCCTTGAATCTACCTTCTTCCTCTGACCATCATCCCTCTAATTCCTCCAACACTGCTACAGGGAGACTCAGGGGCTAACTTGCTTATTTACCCTTCTTTAGCACCCACTGTAACATTGGGCACATAGAAGAAACTTTATCGTTTGATAAATAAATTATTAATCCATTAATAGTTTAAGCTTTAGAAACCTAGAAGATTCATTTATGCCAAATGCATAATCCCCTAAAAATACCAAATTGCTAAAGCATTATTGCACATTAAGTACATTTTTATTAAACTAAAAATATACAACAGTGTATTAACACAGAGAGTAGTTTTCTTCTCAGCTTAATGCCTATTTAGCTAAAAGATTTTCAAAATATTAAACCATTAACTACTGTTTATATATTAGGTTTTACATTTTTAAATGAAGCTCAAAACTGATATAGTCTTTTAATTCATGTAAGTTTAATGTCATGCTGATGACTATAAATATACAAAAAAACTGGAACAAGGACTAAACATGCCATCCTCAGAATTTTTTTTCTAGATGATAAGGGCAAGCATTTTTTTTTGGGCACTCTAGCAAATAAGCCAGCTGTCTCTGTCCAAAATAACTATGGTTCAAAAGTGGAAATGGCCTTGACTCCCTCACCTCTACTCCCTCTGACTGGACTCCTTCTATACAACAAATATAGGTCAAAATCAATTTAAAGAACCTTCAAGAAGTCAGCCAAACTTTCTCACTCTGTCAAATACCTACCACTTCAAGTGAATCAGTACTCAATAAAGGATTAGAATTATTTTCTGTATACAAATATTATTGTTATAACATTATTCCTTATAAAGAATATATTATAAAGACATGTTTTTAATACTTGTGATAATCTGTTCAACTGCTTTGTTTTATTCATATCTTGATAAAACAAGTCTGTCAGCAGAGAGCACTGGCAGGTTATATTATATAACGGATACCAGAAGTTATCAGCTATGTAAAAAGTTTCTGAGAATGAGTGACATTAAGCATGGCTCAACACCAAATTGTATTTTCACTTACATGTCCAAATCTAACAAGTTCCTTGCAGAAACTGCTTGCTGCCAAATGTAACCTTTAATTCCAATACTTAAAGAAACTTGCAGCCCGATAAACCTTTGGCACTTCCACGCTGTTCTCTCCCTTTAACCTCTTCAATTTCATTAACAGAGGCTTTACCTTTGGTGGTGATTGCTGCTGTTTGTTGGTACTTCCTGAATGCTGCAGTCTTAGAGCCCGAGGGATAAATTCAGGCGCCAGAGGATTCAACACATAGGTCTTCTTTAGTTCTAAAGCCTCTAACTGGGCCTTGATCTGTTCAAAAGTGATTCCATGTAGGCTATTATTTTCATGACATAGGGCAATAAACCGCTCCCAAAATTTCCTGCAGAAAAGATTTAGAACACAAGTTTACAATTCAGTGGATGAAATTACAGAACATAAATAACTAAAGATAATTCAAATTCTTTTCCCCCAACCCCCGAATCCTTAAATCCAATAGTCATCTGACTATGATTTAGGTGTAATTTTCTACCAGATCTCAAGACTTCAGAAGTCTAATTCTGAAACTATAGTCATGCCTAGTATTATGGTACATACAAAACAGGCTCTCAATTAATTTTGAGTCATTGATGCAAGTCACGTAGTCAATGCTCAACTATCCATGCTAACCCAGAGTGATGTTTTTTGTCATCCACATAATGAGTGAAAATTTCAAAACTGATGGTAACTCATTTTATACAGAATTTGTTCTTCTAGGCATATTCATATATACATATATATATACACACACATACTATATATAATGTACATAGTTCAATATAATGTATATAGTTCAAATTAATTTATACATACATATATACATATACATATATATCTATATATTTGAATTATAAGGCCAAAGTAGCCTAATGCTAGATAACTAAGAAAAGCCAACTCAGAACATAACTTTGAGTCACAAAGTAGATAATCCTCATGGGATTCTTAAGAAATAATTAACTACTCCTATATTTTTCTTTTATTTAACAGATGCTTATCACAAGCACAGCTTATAACATTAATTTACTAAGTTATAAGGGTTAAATGAATTATGGAAAATATAGGAAGCTGGAGTACAAATTTTGATGTTGACTATTCGTTTCCTAATCAAATTAATAAATACTAAAGGATTTGTTACTCCTAAAGGTTTGAAAATTGATTGCTAAATGTTAAAGTTATTAAATATATATTATAAAAACAGCATATAAAAAGTTTTTAAATTTTAAATTACTATTATAAATATGCATACCTATGTTTAATATGAGGTTCAAATAATGTTTTATTATGCTATAAAAGATATGTGATATGGTTTCTTCCCAAGTTGGTATCCTTGTGTCCAGGTGGACAGCAGGTAATCAAGATGGCTTTAAGAAGCATAAATGAAAAGGTTTATATTATAAAAGCTAGTATAGGAAGGGAAGTGGATTATTAATACATTCATAAAACTTTGCAGAGTTTAATTTTAAACTATGTTTCTCTTACATATGCCTTCTACCATCTTTTCTGATTTTTTTTTTCTTTTTTTTGAGACAAGAGTCTTGCTCTGTCGCCTCGGCTAGAATGCAGTGGCGTCATTGTAGCAGATCCCTGCAACCTCAAACTCCTGGGCTCAAGCGATCCTCCTGTCTCAGCCTCCTAAGTAGCTGGGACTGCAGGCATGCGCTGAACACTCAGCTAATTTTTCTATTTTTAAAAGAAGCCACGGGGTCTCGCTTTTGCTCAGGTTGTTCTCCAACTCCTGACCTCAAGCAATCCTCCCACCTCGGCCTCCCGGAGTGCTAGGATTACAGGCGTGAGCCACTGCACCTGGCCTTTTTCTGATTTTTTAAAGATGAGTTTTAGAGGCCGGGCACGGTGGCTCACTCCTGTAATCCTAGCTCTCTGGGAGGCCGAGGCAGGCAGATTGTTTCAGCTCACGAGTTTGAAACCAGCCTGAGCAAGAGCGAGACCCTGTCTCTACTAAAATTAGAAAGAAATTAATTGGACAACTAAAAATACATAGAAAAAATTAGCCGGGCATGGTGGCGCATGCCTGTAGTCCCAGCTACTCGGGAGGCTGAGGCAGGAGGATCGCTTGAGCCCAGGAGTTTGAGGTTGCTGTGAGCTAGGATGACGCCACAGCACTCTAGCCTCGGCAACAGAGTGAGACTCTGTCTCAAGAAAAAAAAGAGATGAGTTCTAGAAATGGGTCCACAAAAGATTTTAGACCTACATGTAAACAAAAGGAAAAGTAAAAATGCTACAAAATATTAAATATGTATTTCTGACCATAGATTAAAGCTAAGAAGATAGTCATTCCATTATAGGAAGTGTGTGCTGCCAAGAAATGCACACTGAAAAGCTGTCCTTTATTTTTATTCTTAAGAATCCTTCTGAAGGAATTAATTTTTTTTCTCATAGTAACATGAGAAAATACAAGGAAGGATTATCTTATACAGTACTCAGGATCTAAAATCCATCAATTTCCCCACCCTTCTGATAAGAATAGCCACAATATTCAACTGCATGAATATTTATCAACACAATTCCACTATATACTGCATTCATAAGAAAGCTCTTTTAGTCTAATGATAAAGTATCAGTTTCACAGAGTGGCATTTTTTGTTTGTGTTGGACTTCAAGACAAAACAAAACAACAAGGAAATAATGGATTGGCTTTGACCCTATCTAGCTCAGTTTTTAATATCAATTCTTTATTACATATTTTCATTTCCAGCTTACATAGCCAAAATGCTAGAATTTGCTTTATTTTTAAGCTACGTTTTGAAACTTCATTCATACCCTATTCCTATACTGCCCTCACTGGCCTCAAGTGCACTAAACAAGATTTGAAGTAACACTGAGCCAAGGTGACCCTTCAAACAACCTCACACTTCCCAAGAAGCTGGTAGCTTGGTAACAGTCTTTGTCTACAAGAAGATCCCAGGGATCTTAAAGAAATAGCCTTTGAGCTAAAGTACACCATTTTAGAAGTAATATTAAACACTTACTATAAGTTAATCAAGCTAAACTACTTCCAACAGTCATCTGAAATCTGCATGTTAGATTTGACAACTTTTTATTGCCCCGTTGATATATTAATAGCAAAACGGTCAAGAGCACAGATTCTAAAAGTAGACTGAGTGGCTGTGTGACTTCATGCAAATTACTTAAGTTCTCTTCATACCTCAAGTTTCCTCATGTGTAAAATGGAGCACTAGCAGTATTATTATTATTATTATTATTGCTTATTATGGAAATGATTTTTATCGCTTCTAAACTTTCAGAGAAATGGTTTTTTTTCCTTTAAAAATTCTATTTTTAAAGCTAAAAACTTTCCTTTTTTCTCTCAGTGCAGGCTCTTTCAAAGACTATTCACATGGCCCTTCAACTCCCCATACTTACTACACATGGCATTATGAGGCATTTCTGAACACACATGATCGGAGGATCACCTGAGAATTTCAACTACACCCGGAACGAGGATAAGAATTCACCACTAGGGTTACTTAAAGGCTTCGTCAATTCTCTGCCTCCTCCCTAAAATGTTAACATATTATTATGTTAACCATTTTTTTCTAGTACTATTGGTCACAAAAACCAAGTGTACCTCTACATCGTAATACAAATTTAGGTATTTTGAAGGACAAAACCTTTCTTTTAATCACTGCATAAACACAAAGTTTGGTTTTGTTTTTATGTTAGCCTTGCTTCTAGAATCACTAATAAAACATTGAAAAATCACTTGGTCTGCTTAGGTCTCTGTGTGTCTGTACATACACATATACACACATCTCTACACATACATGAAATATGTTAACACTTCACTGAGTAAATGAAATGTGCTAATGAACAAATTCAGCTACAGAGAAAACCTTCTCCAAACATGTTGGTTTGGAAAAATGTCATCACTCTCCTCTCGCCCTCCCCTCATTCGGTGCAGGTTTATCTGTAAATATCCGTCACTTCCTGGGAAAGACAGCATAACCCAGAAAGAAGAGCATGGGTTTTAAAGTCAATCTGACATCTGTTTGAGTGAACTACATAATAGCTATGTGACCCCGGGTAGTTACTTAAACTCTCTAAATCAGGCTGCCCATAATATACAAATAAAACACCCACATTGCAGGGTTGTTGGGATGACTGAATGAGGCAATGTGTGTAAAGCACATAAACCAGCACCTGGTACAAAGAAAGCTGTCAATAAACAGCAGTTACTATATTAGTATTTATTAGTTTGGAAAGGGAGGGAAGGAAGAGTTTACTACATTTGTTTAGGGTTAATAGAAAAGTTCTGTTTAAAAATCCTTTACAACAAAAAGGAATACATAACTGATTGACTCCTAAACTCGTATAATATACACCATAATTACCCCCTGAAAACTTGATTGATATTTGGGAATGTCATATTAGTTTTTTGTAATTATCAAATGAAAAAAGCGCAGGAAAACTCCTAAAGAACTTGAACTACAAAGAATTTACTCTTCTGTTCTTACAGGATCCAAGAATCATAGTAAGTCCTCCAGGTTTACTTCTATTATGAGAGTAAGTTAATTTTTAATGAAATTAGTGAAATTAAAGTTTAAATATCCATATGCCACAACCATCAACTCTTGGACTAGGGCCCTGATAAAACTGTCCAAATAGGCCAGGTGTGGTGGTTCACACCTGAAATCCCAGCACTTTGGGAAGGCCAAGGTGGGAGGATGGCTTAAGGCTAGCAGTTCACAATCAGCCTGGGCAAAATAGCAAGACCCCGTTTCTACAAAAAAAAAATTTTTTTTAATAAACTGTCCAAATAAAATAGATAATCAGCATTCCTTTTTACATATGATTGATATTTTTCCTTGACACAATATATTTACTTCCCTGAAAATATTTTACTTAGCTTTTAAAATAATTTGCAGTCCTTGACACACTGCAAGCAAGTAATAAAAAATAAGTGATCATTAGACTCAGCTTCGAGTTAAAAATTAGCCTGGATAATTCTGACAGCATGGCCTTAGGAAGAATATTCACCTATTTGCTCTGAGAAAGTAATGATTTATGTCAGAGACAGGGTGAAAAATGCTGATCTCATGCAATTCACAGTGTAATATGACTATATAGAAAGGATAATGGTTTCTTTAAAAATATTCAGGTTGGTAAATATTTGGAGTTATTTATAAGGAGAGCCCAAAACTAATGTGGCTTAACACCATCCTTATACCTATTTATTCCCCCCAACAGTTTCTAGTTGTTTTTAACACATGTTGTCCCATTTTATACATGTTTTAATATATTAAACTCTAATCAAACTGTATGTGCTCTCACTTATCAAATAATATAAACAAAAATAGTAAAATACCACAGCAACATTCTAACCAAAAACAATTTTCAATGAATAGTGAAGTAACTAAAGTAAAATTCTTAGGATATAAGCCAAATTAGTAGACTCCTTAATATACTTAGTTCTATTCATTTGTAATATAGAATTAATATATTCCTTTTCCTAATTTTCTGTCATTAGTGATTATAAATGGCAATCTATTTTTAAAATATGAAATTAAAGACATGTTACAACAGAATTATTTATAGATAAGTCATAGACCATTGAAGCTTTGTTTTTTAAAACAAGAAAAGGTTATTTTTCATAATGTAGCCATAAATTAAAACTCTACTTGATTCCTTTGTTAATAGCTTTCCCTTATAAAGAATATTAACTTCATTTGGGGTCTTAAACTCTGAAACATGAAACTTATTCTTAAAGGTCCCAGTCTCCCTTCCCATAGAATTTTTCTTCCTGCTAGAACATGAAAACAGACAATAAAATGCTGCCAAATCTATATTGCAACAGAAAAGTTGGTTTAAAGAGCATCATGTCCTAACAGCTTTGTCTACTTTAATTCTAACATATCAAAAAGAAATAATTACCCGAGGCAGATTCGAGACTGTCTACATTTCTTTCTACTACTCTGAACTCACTGTGACGGGTAAAATTTTAAGTACTCCCTTGCGTATTTCTTTCTTTTTCATGAAAGAATAGTATAAATTTCTATTCAACTGCTTTTCTTTTTTTATTGTTAACACAGTGTTTCAATATTTGAAAGGCCAAAGCTTCTATTACTGCTTTTATACAGTTAAAATTCCTATTAACTGGTATAAGTCACAAGTGTATAAAGAGAAATTTTTTTGTTTAGGTTGATATTTAACCATATTTTAGTAGAAATTGTTTCTTGTAACTAAAGTCTAATGAATATTAATGATGCTATCCCAAAGACAAGTGATGTCTACTTTTAATCCCCTTAATTTTAAGATCTTCTAGATTAATCAGATACAAAGAATTGAGAAGCCTTGAGAGAACATGACTACAGAAGGAAATTCATCAAAAATCAGAACAATGAAAGGGAAAAAAATGAGGTACCAACTGATATATTAATAAAATTTAATATCCATCAAAGATACATATGTTACACAAGATCACCTCAGGACCCTTGCACTATTTATTCCTTCCTCCTAGAGCACTTTTACCCCAGATATCTGCAAAGTTTACTACCTCACTTCCAAAGTCAATTTCTCAGCGAGGTCTACTGTGACCAGACTACTTAAAATCACAAACCAGTCTGCCCCACCCCATCACTCCTAATTCCCCTTATTTCTTTTCCAATCAACTTACCATGTAAAATACTACAAAATATTCTTATTTAGTTTATTGTAGTCTTCCTCTCCTTACCAATAAAATGTATGCCTCACTAATAAAATATAAGCCCCACAAGGGCAGAGATATTCGTCTATTTTGTTCATTGATGTATCTTCAGAGAGTAGGAGAGTGCTTAGAACATAGAAGGCACTCAGGAAATATCTGCTGAATAATAGCTGCATGAATACACAATTATGCGCATAATGAATAGATCCAAAGTAATATACTTTTGTGTTCCTGTTGGATTCAGGCAATAATAAACTGATTTTAATTAGCCAAGAGGTCACATACATAAACGTACACATAGGGATACAAATCACTTCACATTTCGCCCTTTAAAGTCTCCATCAGTAACACATAATTACCTGCATCTTCCAACAGAGCACAGAGCAATGGGGTCACCCACCACAGCAACCAGCGACTGTGCTCTTGTGATGGCAGTATTGAGAAGCTTGTAATTAGACAAAAAACCATAATCTAAGTCCTCTGTGGAATCTTCCAGAAGTTGTTCTTTCTTTTTAATTGGTGTCTGTTTATGTTTACAAGTATGTCTTGTACGTACTGTGCTAAGAAACAAAACTCTGAACTGCTTTCCTACAAAAAAAAATTAAAAAAAAAACACTTAAGATTGTCATTCTGAAGCACTGATAAAATAAAAGCATTGCATTTTCTAAAATGTAATTGATAAATAACAGACAGTAAGTATATGGAGAAGATGAAACCCTTGCACACTGTTAGTGGGAATGTAAAATGGTACAGCTGCTATGGAAAGCAGTGTGGCAGTTCCTCAAAAAATTAAACATAGAATTACCACATGATCCAGAAATTTCACTCTTAGATATATACCCAAAAGATTTTGAACGTGGGGACTCAAACAGATATATATACATCCATGTTCATGGCAGCATTATTCACAACAGCCAAAAGGTGGAGGCAACTCAAATGTCTATAGACAGATGCACTGATGAACAAAATGTGATATATACATACAATGGATTCTTCAGTTTTATAAAGGCATGAAATTCTGACACATGCTACAACATGGATGAACCTTGAAGATACTATGCTAATGAAAGAATTCAGTCACAAAAGGACAAATAATGTATAGTGCAACTGTATAATTGCACTTACATGAGGTACCTAGAATAATCAAATACATACGGACAGAATATAGAAGGGTGATTTCCAAGAGGGAAGGAAGAATGGGGAATTACTGTCTAATAGGTACAGAGTTTCTGTTTGGGAAGATGAAAAAAGTTCTGGAAATGGATGGTGGTGATGGTTGCACAACAGCATGAATGTACTTAATGCCAAAGAACTGCACACGTAAAAACAGTTGAAATTATAAATTTTATGTCATATATATTTTACAATAAAAAAAAATTTAATGATATTGCTGGAAACAACCTTAGAAATTATCTCGTACCACGTCTCACCCAATACAAGTAGTCTTCCTTGAAGCAGAGTCATCTAGCTTCTGGCCAAACAGGATAGCCACAGCTGATTCCATAAGGAAGCCTTACAGAGAGTCTAGCTTGTACACTTTTTCCTGTGCTCTTCTTATACTACCACATATATTCCCTCATTCTATGACAAGTCTCCAAATATTTGACTACAGTTTTAATGTCAGTCCTTAGTCTCTTCTCCAGGCCAAACAATCCTAGTTCTTTCAACCATTTCTGACTCTCATATGGTATTTACGGAGACCATTAACTATCCTAGGTCTCCTCTGGGTGCTTTCTAGTTTACTACTAATGCTCTTTCTAAAATGCTCACCCAAATTCTGCATGATCTGGACAACACATGGTACAATGGAGCTATTTTTTTCTCCCATGATCTGACCACTGTATTACTCTTACTATGGTATATTACCAGGAAACCTAACATTGTACTGAGCTTTTTTTAGTGCTCACATCATAGTGTTGCTCCGTATATTTAAAAGCACAAATTTTATAGCAATGAATTACATGAAGACAATTTAAGAGTTGCTGGTAACTGTTCACTTAGGAAAGTCTATGGATAAAATCTTGATGAAGAAATTAGTCCAGTATAGCAATAGCATGTGTTGTACGCTATTGTGATTGTAACTCATAGCATACAGATACTATATGGCATTTATTCAATTGTGGTCATAGAAAAAGTCCATTTAATACTTATTTGGACTATAAAAATTTAATAAACATGTAAATGAGGTCAACCTCTAATTGCCAAATTTGGCATTAAAGAACTTGGTATGAAATGAACACATAATTGCTTGTTCAGAAAAGAGATCTTGAGCTTCAAAAATCAAATGTGAACACACTTTAAGATTTAAACTTTTGAATGACTTAATCCATTTCAATTATTACTTACCTTGAACATTTAGCACCCTTTCTACATTAACATCAGATAACCGCTTTTTTCGAAGTTCAGCACGTATCCTAAACACTTGATCAGCATATGGAGTCACCACACCAATACTGCCATCATCTAACTTCCCCCATGCTACTGGCCACTTCCTTCTTAATTCTTCTACACGCTCCACCACTTCGAATACCTTTAAACAAACACACATATATACATAAAGTTATCACCAACATTTGGAGAAAGAATATGGTAACTAAAATAGATTAATAACGGATCTCATTTTAGCATATGCCATTTAAAAATTACCTCTAAATGGGAATAACACTTCACTAATGTGAACAGAGTAAGAATAAAAAATTTTAATTTACATTTTAAACAGTAAAATTCTACAGTAATACAACCAGTGAAAACATGAAAATCAGAAACAATGCAACTGACCCCTATTCTTCACCAGTCCCCCATTCTTAAATAGGGACAGGCTCAAATTTCTGTGTAGGGAGGAAGACAGAAAGAGAGCCATGATATTACAGAAAGCAGAGAAAGCAAGTTCCCACATTCCCAGGATTTCTCAGTCCACTCTCTCTAAATCAGGCCAATAAAACTAACCAACCAACTAGAAGATTCCTGTAATCAATGCCATTAAGTCCCAGCAGTAAAAGGTCTGAGCATTGTGTCCACCCTCACTGATATAACTAAGCAGACCAGCCAGCAGCCATCAGCTGACACCAAATCACAGCTGGGACTAGGCCAAATTTAGATCCGAGGCACAGGCTTTCAGAATTCACTGCCTTCAAGTGGTACAAATTCAGCCAAACCATTTCATTAGTCTTGCAATAAGGTAACACAACATTTTATGCAACTGACTTTTTTTGGATCCCATTTATTGGGTTATGATAAGAGTTTAGAGTCATTTGATCTACTATAATTCAATAAATTTATCAAACAGTTCCAATGCTTGCCATGGTAGAGGATACAAAGATTGATAACACACGTTCCTTGCCTGCTAAAAGATTACTGTCTATTTAAAAGACAGTCCTAATAAAATATATACATAAAGCAAGCACAATAGAGGGTCAGTCAAAAGTGTAGAGGCATACTGAAGGAGAAATTTATAAAAGATGTCTTTATAAAGATGTCTTTTAAGTACATTATTTATTTACTATTAATAATATCTATTTAAAAATTAAAAATAATTAAAGAAATTAAAATGTGACAGTAGAAAATATACACTTAATGTATACGGTCAAAAAAATACATGAAACTAAAAAAAAAAGGCAGAGGTAAATCCAACCGTGTCAATAACATAAAATGCGAATGGATTAAACAATCCAATCAAAAGGCAGAGATTTTCAGACTAGATTAAAAAAAAAACAAGATCTAATGACGTACTGTCTACAGGAAATGTACTTTAGATTAAAAGGTGTAAAGAGGATGAAAAATATATATGCAAACAGCAACCATAAACGGGCTAGAATGGTTACATCAACACCTCATGAACTGACTTTAAACCAAAAAAATGTTACTAGAGATAATGAGGGACATTTTGAAATGATAAAAAGGTCAATCCATTAGAAAGATATAACAATCATAAACATATATACAATTACCTACAGATTCTCAAAATACATAAGGGAAAACCATGTTTTCCACCATGCCAAGGGCCTCACCAAACTTGATGGATTCTTTGTTTGTATCTGTGCAACTCTGTCTACCTTTCACATCATATTATCTTACGGCTGTTTGTTTCCATAGCTCCTCCCTTCAGACTGAATTTTTCAAGGTTAAGAATCACATATTGGTGCTTAGTATTTAAATTGTGCTTTCTAGGTCAGGCGCAGAGGCTTACGCCTGTAATCCTAACACTCTGGGACGCTGAGGTGGGAGGATGCTCTGGAGTTCGAGACCAGCCTGAGCAAGCGCAAGACCCCATCTCTACTAAAAACAGAAAAAATTATCCGGTGCGGTGGCAAGCACCTGTAGTCCCAGCTACTCGGGAGGCTGAGGATTGCAGGAGCCCAGGAATTTGAGGTTGCTGTGAGCTAGGCTGATGCTATGGCACTCTACCAGGGTGATAGAGTGAGACTCTGTCTCAAAAAATAAATAAATAAAATGAAAAACAAATAAATTGTGCTTTGTTTTCAACTTGGCATTAAATTAAAACCATTATTGTGAGATATGAATTCAGAATCAAAATAAAAAAGAATGATCTTTCTCAGTCTCCTACCATTTTAAGCATGTGAAAAAAGACACAAGTTCAAATGATATACAAAGCACATGATATAAAATAAAAAAACATGTTCCCCAAACAAGGAAGAATTATACACTGCAAAAATGCTATGAGTATTCCTTCAATTTCAGGTTCTTCAATTTCATTTTTAATTCCAACCTTTGTTTTAAGTTGATTTTGATTTTAACGCCGTGTAAGACTATCTTATGTTCACAATAATGGAATTTAAACTATTCTCAAATGCCCTCGTAAATTTTAGTCAGCATCTTTACAAAAAAGAAATCTTATTTTTCCCTATCAATGTAGCGGGTGCCGCCTGCTCTGCTTGCTCTCTAACACAAAATAGAGTTTCAACTTTGAATTACATACCATCAGGAAAAGTCCAAGGCTTCCAAGGCTTCCGGGACGGTTTTACTGTCCAAATATGCCCACGCTGGTATCCAAAAATTCAAAATGCCTACACTGGTATTAAACTGACATGAACAAGGATCACTCTTGCCCCTTATAGAAAGAAACCCTGGGGGAATGTGCCTCGAAATTTTTGACCGCAGTAACTCATGGGGCTGACGAGAGTGATTGAACAACTATGCTCTTATGAACTTCAACTATGCTCTGATGAACTTCAAAGTGGCTCGAAATTTCTCTAAAGTTATATGTTTAATATTTAAAGGTCATACAAATGTTGCTTTTGTGTTCTTTTAATATGAAAAACATATTTTTCAAAAAAGTTTCTGAGTAAAATTCACAGTCCAGGAAGATGCACCTCATTTATCCTACAGTGTATAGGTTTCTTAGGAAACACACCACGTAACTGCGAAGGAACAGCCTCTGGCAAACATCAGCCCTGACTCAGGATCAAGGATTAAGACTCAGCTCTGATCCCTGATATCACAGCAGGACCATCAAGCCTTCTGGATTTCAGGCCCTGCTTGTCGCTCCCTCCCACCCACTACCATGGCTGGTTTCTAGGCCAGTGGTTTCCAACCTGAGTGCAGAAACAGTAAAGGAGACCTCTAGAGTTATTTCCAATATATCAAATATTTTTTAAAAGTTTACCTTTTCCTAAAATCAAATGGCGCAGACTAACTAAAATGTCAAGTTTCTTTGCTTCGAGCTAGGATTTTATCAAGTAAGTACTGATGATTTTCTTGTACTAACTTCTAACCACAGGCTTCTGATCAATTTTTTAAGGGAAAAATGAATGCCTATTACATAATAAAAGCCATTCTTTGCAACTAAGATGGGTAAAGCATGGGACAGTGGAGATCAGAGATGGAGACCCATTCCCCTCATGATCAACCAGCATCCCTCCCTCCTCCAGGTTTCCCGAAGTCCAGAACTTCACTCCCTTGTGACAGCCAGAACCTTAACCCCTGGGTTTCTGGCCTGCTAGTCCCTAAAGACTTTGCCATTTTTTTTGTCTGCTGCCTGATTTGACCATTCATACTACCAATATTCACTCTGAACTTAAAAAGCCAGAAACTGTAAGAGAACTACATAAGTTGGAGCACATAATGGGAGAACAACATCGTTATCTGGGTCTGTGTGATCTCTTTGGAGCAAAGGATTCTGCAATTCAAATCTGACTCATTTAAAATGATACCTGATTTCTGTATGCCCTATAAAATTTAATCAGAGCCTATCTGAGACACCTAACAATAATGATCTATTTGAGAACAATGTTGGCTTTACTTTTAAATGGAATCATGTATTCGGCGTTTCATCATAAGACAAAAAGTAAATCAAAGTTTCTGTTTCCCATAGGAGATTCATCTTAACAAATCAATATTATACATGAAATAAATTTTACATACTATTTTCATGTAAATGAAGTCAATACACAGTAAAATGCCAACCAAAATTTTAAATAAATGTTCAACAAAACAGACTATGTGACTGAGAAAATGTTAACAATTTGCAAAAAGAACTAGGGTACCTCTGCATTATTATAAAAAGCTGTGCTATTTTTTTCTTGTACATCTTCCCCTCGTGCTGTAAAGAAAGTTAGTGGGTAGAAATCCTTGTGTGCTGGTTGCTTTCCACTGGCCATCAGTTTGCCCTCATAGAAAAGCTCAGAGGTGTAACTGCAGAAAAACACAAAAAGGAAAAAAAACAGGTTGTGACTATTCGCCGAGCTGTCATTTATAATATGTTCATCTTATAGGTGCATACTGTATTTACTAGAAATCTTCTAAAAACCTATTAATAAGTTTCATGAGTTTGTTCCCTCCCTTTCTTCCTTTCTTTTAAAACACATTCCTTATACTTGTATAACGTAGCCAAAGACATATAAGCAAACCATTATATTTTTTGTCAATATATTTATTATAGCATGTAGCTTTTCATACAGATTACATATTTAGTCACAAAAAAATGTATGTCATGGCTAATGTCATGGCTAACCTATTTTGTGAAAAATTACAACTCTGACTTTTGAAGTCGTCTTTTTTTTGAAGACAGGGTCTTGCTCTGTTGCTTGGGGTAGAGTACAGTGGCACGATCATAGCTGACTGTCTCAGCCTCCCGAGTGGCTGGGACTATAGGTGCACACCACCATGCTTGGCTAATTTTTCTATTTTTTTTTTTTTGGTAGAGGCAAGTTCTTGCTATTGCCCAGGCTGGTCTCGAACTCTTGGGCTCAAGTGATTCTCCCACCTCAGTCTCCCAAAGTACTAGGATTACAGGCATAAGTTAGCACACCCAGCCTGCAGTGGTCTTCTAAAGACATAAAATTAAGTATATGCAATTAATGGTGTCCAGAAAAAAATAAATAAAAAATTTTAGAAATTAAGTATAACTTGCAACACTAGGGACATCGTATAACTCTGTTGGGAATAATCTGTCCCCAGTTATGGTGCTGTTTTGAGTTCCCTCCCACCAGACCCCAGAAGTGTGACACAGAGGGAGCAGTTCACACCTACTTGATGATAGCTTCATGGGAGCGGTAGTTCTCACATAAGAGGATCCTACATGGAAACTCGGCAGGGTAATGCTCATAGAGCCTATCAAGTAATGAAACATGAAGGTTTCTCTCCCTGGCAAACTCGCTGTAAACAAAAGGACTGAGCTGTAACAGACAAACATATAGAGAAAATGTAACTAAATACACAAATAGTATTTTTTAACCTACTTATAAAAAATCTGCTATGCAAAACTTCTAATATACTAAACTGCAACATGCTAAATGCTAGTGCAAGCAAAATCAGTATTTTCTATGAACAATTTTATTACTATCAAGAACTAGACTAAAATTTCTAACTTTTCATTGCAGTATACCAACATAAACTTAGAGCTTCTATACATAGCTTAATAAAAGGCTCTTCCTAACATCATAATAAATAGCTACTACTTCAGTAATTTCAGGAATGCAACTCATTATATCACTGAGGAAGTCACAACAGTTATTTCACTAAAATTGATCAATTATTTAAAATGATGAGCTGGTAGGACGTCCGTAGAGCCTATAACTAAAAGAATTATTTTTAATAATTAACAAAACAACCCTCTTGATCTCAAAGTTTAAGGAGCCATTCTTGGTTATGCTTTTTACTGCTAAAGAACAAAATTAAACCATTTTAGGCAAAAAAACAAAAACAGAATTTGTTCCTCTACATTCAATTGTTTCCTGGATATCCTGACAGCTATCATAATCAATTGTGGCAGAAGAGAAAGACCCCAAAATTTCAACTTTGTAAAATAGATATCTTAATGGAAAAATTGTATTTCTCTTTCTTATATAAAGGTATTCAAATACATAAAATCAGACATACTCTTTGAGATTTTGACTATAATTTTTAATTAAGCCCTCTATTTTCTATAATATCAAAAATTAACCTTTCAGGATAATAAATATTAGAGACAGGAGCTGGGAAATTATAGAAAGAATCATTTAAATTTTATTTTATAAAGAAAAGAATCAGATATTCATACTATAGAGAACTGAGCTTCAAATTAATAAACGTGAAAATTATAACACTGATAGACTCTCAATCATTCCAAACTGTCTATCCAAAGAAGAAAAAAGAGCAGTGGGACAGTCATTTTTCTTCAGAATACTAATAGTTTTTGCTTTTATTTTTTTATTTATTTATTTTTTTTGAGACAGAGTCTCACTGTGTTGCCCGGGCTAGAGTGAGTGCCACGGCGTCATCCTAGCTCACAGCAACCTCAAACTCCTGGGCTCAAGCGATCCTCCTGCCTCAGCCTCCCGAGTAGCTGGGACTACAGGCATGCGCCACCATGCCCGGCTAATTTTTTCCATATATTTTTAGTTGTCCAATTAATCTCTTTCTAATTTTTAGTAGAGATGGGGTCTCGCTCTTGCTCAGGCTGGTTTCGAACTCCTGAGCTCAAACAATCCGCCCGCCTTGGCGTCCCAGAGAGCTAGGATTACAGGCGTGAGCCACCGCACCTGGCCTAGTTTTTGCTTTTAGTACAGAACTATTTAAAGCACTTAAACAAAAATACATGGCGCAATTTCGTACGGTGTTTTAGAAAACAGAATATTAAGCATCAAAATATAATTAAAAGTTACTTTGAGTACAATGACTCAGAGGGCACTTACCTGCATGTGATCACCAGCCAAGACAATCCGAGTGTTTTTAGCTGCTAATGCTAGAGGCATAATGGTTTCACACTCCATGGCCTGGGCAGCTTCATCTAATAGAATGTGGGTAAAAAACCCTAGAAAGTACAGTGTAAACACAGTAAAGCATATTACAACAGCAATAAAAGTACTGAGAAGTCCTGTAGTTATTTTCTTTTCTGCTAAGGAAAGAGTTTAGTTTGCTAACCTGAGTTGTGAGTACTTTCAACACCTATCCTCGACTTAGACAACTGTCAATTTAAATCATCATTTTAAAAATAGAGGTTAAAAGGAATAAGTATTTTACTTAATAGATAAGTAAATGCATCTGGTGCTAAGAACCCAAAGACTCACAGTTGAATCAGTATATACAATATATACAAGATAGTAGCTTTTGACCAAAAGAAGGGCGACTAAACACTGACAGCCCCAAAGCCCTTTTGCTATTTATTTGGTAAAAAAACAAATATAAATCAATGGTAGTTCATAAATAACTTTACCCTAAACATGCATATTAGACATTAAAATAAAGAAAATTACACACAAAATCTAATAATATAAAGGAAAAAGTTATAATCAAACTTGGACTGAAGACAAAGAGTATCTTATCAGCAAATTGCAGGTTTATTTTACATATATACCATAAATGTATATATAGCATATAATATATACTGTTACATATTATAAAAAACTATATATAATTTCTTGGTCTAAGACTCTACCCTGATCTAAAAAGAAATCACTGTTATGCAAACATAGTGAATGATAACAAATGTCAAAAATGTACATTCTCAAAAGTTCCCCAGATGCAAACACCTGAGTAGGAGGCATCCCATGTCTTGGTTGCCTCTGCCACTCACACTAGGGCACAGGGTTGTGTGCACAGGAAGGAGGAAAAAAATCCTTTGCCACTGAGAGTGGGAAAGGGGGAAAAAAATCTCCTTGGTGTCTCAATTTAGAGAAAGAAAAGGCACCCCTAATACCAACTCATCAGGGTAGGAAGAAGGGGCTCTCTTCTTATTAGCATAGCAAAAGATACAAAGTAGTTTTTCAACAGAATGGAAAGTTATAAAACTCTCTAGAGACCAGTGACATTATAAATCAATCAGCCTCTTGTGATTTGGCTCAGGAACCTAAACTCTATTTCTATCCCCATCTCTATGAACATCAACAAGTTCCAAACAATCTGCTTATACAATTTTCTAATGCAACCTGTTTTCAGGTTGGGAACTTCCTAAATCTTACTGACTGGCATTAATAACCGTCAGGATCATCCACTGGAACAAATGGCTACGGCTGAAAGTACCAGTAACTGGTGTCTATTTACCAACAATGGCTCAAACATGATACAGATGCATGCATTTTTTCCCCTGTTGAGAATTTCTGCATTTGTTCTATGTGATAACTAAAGAAAATGACTATATAAATATAGGATAAGACTGGAAAAACTGAGACTAGTGGAAAAAAATCTGTTTTCATAAGATAACATTTTAATTTAATAGAGCTAGGCTTGCATCAAGAACTGGATAAATCATGAAATTGTTATGACTATTGCTTAAGCTAGAAAAGGTAACTTGAATTAATCAAACTGACTTAGCCTGAGCATCTGTAAAATAAGCTTCCATAGGGTTGATATGAGAATTAATGAAATAAAGTATAAACAACATCCAGAACAAAGGACCTAGTTGACTTCTAGTAAGTATCATTCTACCCTCTAGCTCTTCAAAGCCGTTCTTTACTTTTTCTCACAAAACTATACTATTTAGAAGGCTTTGGTTTCTAATCTACGTGGCAAATATGCAGAGTATAATCATAAAGTAATAAGACTGATTGTTAAATAAACATACCAAAATTTACATTTCAAATAAGTGTTGTTCCATTCAAAGAAGTCACTTGGGACGAAATATAACTCATTCCAATGATGCTGCCACTGTTCAAAAACATTTTTGAAACTCTGCTTTTGTAACTGCCCTCACCAGCCAGCTATGAGCTGCATGCACAAGAAAATAAGTCTCATTACATGAGAGGCACGTCTCCTTTTTTTTTTTAAACTCCCAATAGTATTGCTCAGTTTGATCGCCTACCTGATTTATCAGATATGTCTCAGAAAGATTGTGGAGCCTTTCTAAAATTAAATCTACCCTCAATTAAAAAAAAAAAAGTTTGGCCACCATTCCTTCATTTAAGATAAACAGAAGTTTATCAAGGGCCTGCAGGTGTCTAGACCCTGGGCCAGGTGCCGGGAATACAAAGTGAAGAGAACAGTCTCTGCCTTCCAGGGACTCAGATGTTCAAAAGAATTTGTCATTGGCTCTGAAAGCAATTCCAAAAAGAGACAGCAAAAAAGTGTTGAGCAATGGTTAATAATTATAATTTGGCAGTAATAGATGAATATTCTTCCAATGCATCTACTTTAAAGTGATACTACTTTTTGATGGTTAGGTTCTGCCATATTTATCAGAACAACTTATCATCTTACATTTGTACTTCATAAAACATTAGTTTGATTTTACATAGGTCCTGTACTTAAAAATGATATCCTAACAGTATGTCTTAAAAAATCCTATCATGATTATTGTCTCTACACCATGTAATGCAAAAGCATCTTACGACAAAAACTTGAGAAAACTGTAAGAAAAACACCAACACTGTCCAAATTTGAATTCCTCACATGATCATAAAAACCACCTCATCGATTAAAGAACAAATGGAATAGCAATCATTAAAATGTCTAAACTAGGGGTTGGCAAATTTTTGCAGTAAAGGGCCAGAGAGTATATATGTATGTATTTGTGGGCCATACAATCAATCTCTGCTGCAATAACTCAACTCAGCCACTGCAGCACTAACGTATCCATAGACAATAGATAGGCAAATAAATGGGCATGGCTGTTTTCCATCCAATAAAGCTTTATTTATAAAAACAGGCAGCAAAACAGATTTGGTCTACAAGCTATAGTTTGCCCACCCCTAGTCTAAACTGAATTCATAAGCTCTAAATTTATCATACACCCTATCTGTGTCTTGAGTCGGCATACCAGGTTCAAGGTCCAATTGACAGAGGTACTGGGAAGTATTCAATGTAACAACAACCACTCGATGTTTAAGAATATCTTCTTTCTGTGGCATCTGAAAGGTGGAATGTGCACTTGAGATCAAACAGTACTGATGCACAACTGGGTGGACAGTCTTTACCCAGCGATTTCTGAAATATACCCTGTAAAAGAAGATAAAATATATTTCTGATTTACATTTACTAATATCTTAACAGTATATGATTATTAAAATACTGACAATGTTATTTTAAGACTATAATATCTGGAAATTAACAAATAAATGTGATAACCATTAACACTCTACTGGATTCGAATTTAACATACAACTATCCCCATATCCACTGCAACTTCCCTTCCCCACAAAAAAAAATTTAAACAGAAAGTATATGTACTACCACAAAATAAATCTCATTATTTTTAAGTGTTCACATTAATCTTGCAACAGAATGACACATAAACATAAGTTTTACAAGCATTACAGTTTAAGTTCAAAACATTCCAATTCTATAATTGCATTTTTCTAGAATATTCTTAGAAAAATAAACTGAATACATATTTTAATTATTTGTGCCAATAACAAATAGTCAATTGCATACTTACGCAGAAATGTGAAAGTTATTTACATTTTACTTTAGAATATATTCTTATACCTATATTTAAATAGTCTGAGGTTCTGGAAGTTTAAAAATAAATTTAAATTTTAAACATAGGAAAATCTTAAAAGTGTAACTCTTCCATTAATTGAAAAAGAAAAATACTAATAGGCTTCATGCAACAGATTACTAAGATAGTACAGAAATGACTCGTCCATTCATCCACCTACCCACCCATCTCTAATCTACCCCCTATAGCTAAGATTTATTTATAGGGTAGCTACTGTGCTCCATCACCGAGGCAGATCACATAGGGCTTGTGAGCAATCATAGGCCTTTGGATTTACGAGTTTAAGGAAAAGCCATCAGACAGTTCCAACAGGGCAGTCACATGACACGACGTATACTGATAAAGGACTAATCTGTTTCTCTGGGCAGAATATCTAGGGGGACAGGAGTGGACAGTGGTGAGCTGGCAAATGTTTAACAACTGGTTCGGGGGCAGGGGACAGTGGGGTTGATTTGTAGTGTTTGCTGATTTCTATGGTGTAAAAACTACTATCACGGCTGATTTCAAGCTAACAGCATGATGTCACTGAACATGAACTTGGGAAGACATGCACATGGTCAGCTCCCATAAGCCAGTACAAGTTGGTTCCAACATACCACTGAGGGGGATGAAAGTTGGAGCAGAGGGTAGAAGCAAAGAGATCAGTTTGGGGGTTATTGTAAGGGTCTGGGCAAGAAAAGATAGTGAGCGGGACTAGGGTGATTAGTAGAGATGTGGAAAAAGGTCAGATTCACTAGACATTTTGAGAGTAATGCTGACAGAATTAATGATGAACTAGATGTGGAACTTAAGAGAAAGGATGATTCCATGCCTTTGAAACTGGATGACGGATGGTACTGTTTACAAAGGTGGTGAAAGAGAGGAACAGATTTGGGATGGGAATGGAGAGTTCAGGAGACATCCAGGTGGAGATATCCAGTAAGAAGGGCGATGTACAAGTCTGGAGTTCAGGAGAATGTCTGGGGCAAGAGATATACAATTGGGATAATACTAAACCTTGAGACTGGATGAGATCATCTGAAGAATAAGAGTAGATAAAAAAGATATTAGTGGAAGGAAGAAAGACTGATGGATCACCCCAACATTTAGAGGCTGAGGAAAGGAGGATTCAGTAAAGGAAACTCGGAAGGAGCAGTCAGTGAAACAGGAGAGAACTCAGAAGTGTGTGGGGTATAGGAAGTAAAATGAAGAAAGTGCTTCAGAGAGAAATAGGACTGTGTCCAATGCTGCTAAGAGGCTGAGTAAAATGAGGACTGACCACAGAACTGAGCAACAAGTAAACCAATAATGATGACCTCAATATGACAATTTTAGAGTAAAAGTAGAGATGGAAATCTGATAAGCTTGAGGAAGAGAAGAGAAGAGAAGAGAAGAGAAGAGAAGAGAAGAGAAGAGAAGAGAAGAGAAGAGAAGAGAAGAGAAGTAGAAGAGAAGTAGAAGTAGAAGCAGGGAATACATATAAACAACCACTTAGAAAAATTTTGCTTAAAGAAATGCAGATGCCGGCCGGGCGCGGTGGCTCACGCCTATAATCCTAGCTCTCTGGGAGGCAGAGGCAGGCGGATTGTTTGAGCTCAGGAGTTCGAAACCAGCCTGAGCAAGAGCAAGACCCCGTCTCTACTAAAAATACAAAGAAATTAATCGGACAACTAAAAATACATAGAAAAAATTAGCCGGACATGGTGGCACATGCCTGTAGTCCCAGCTACTCGGAAGGCTGAGGCAGAAGGATCGCTTGAGCCCAGGAGTTTGAGGTTGCTGTCGGCACTCTAGCCCGGGCAACACAGTGAGACTCTGTCTCCAAAAAAAAAAAAAAAGAAAGAAATGCAGATGGGGTCAAGGTGAGTGATTTGTCTGTTTAAATAGCAGACACAGTATATTATTTGTTTGCTGTAGACAGAAAAAAGGATGCAGGAGAGGAGAAGGTGAATAGAGGACACAATGAGAGCCCATTCACAATTAAAGAGGTGGGCCTTAGAAAGAAGCAAGAATAGTTTAGAATGGAGGAGAAAGTAGTTATTTGGAAGGTGCAAGTCAGACAGATCTGTCAAAGGGAAATTGTGTGTAATCCTAGCACTTTGGTAGGCAGAGGCAGGAGGAGCACTTGATGTCAAGAGTTTGAGACCAGCTTGGGCAACATAGTAAGATGCCACCTCTACAAAAAGCATTAATAAAAAAATTAGCTGGGCATGGTGGTATGCACCCGTAGTCCCAGCTACTCAAGGGGCTGAGGCAGGAAGATTGCTTGAGGAGTTTGAGGTTGCAGTGAACTATGATGCACTCTAGCCCAGATGACAGAGTGAGACTCTGTCTCAGAAAAAAAAAGGAGGGAAAAATTGTGGACATTCTTTTCTGATTGCTTCTACTCCATCTGTGAAGTTAGAGATTATCAGCTGATTGTTATTTTCATCACTATTATTCCTTCTTCACAGTGAAGAAAATTGAAGCCCAGAGGCTTACAGCCAGGATTCAAGCCTGTGTTCTTACCCTCTCTAAGCCTCATTTCGTATTTCCCAAATGGATATAATTAAACCCCTCAAGGATCTGGGGAAATCAAATGAGACAACATACATACAGTATGTAGCACAATGCCTGGCACCAATAAAAAGGTCTCTACCTCCCTTTACCCATAGCAAAGTTGAAACTAAAACCAGCATTTTTAAACACTGAGTTAATAATATTCAACGTACACTGTACAAATGCAAAAAGGTAACATCGTGGCATAAATACAAGCAATCAAAACAATTAAGTAAAAAGATCTGCTGCTTACTCTATCCAAAAGTATACATTGTGAGAAGTATTTTATTTCATAAACTGGGCTGAGTGTGGTGGCTCAGTCCTGCAATCCTAGCACTCTGGAAGGCTGAGGAGGCGGGAGGATCACTTGAGGTCAGGAGTTTGAGACCAGCCTCTTACGTACCTTTTCAGAAAGGTTGAAAACACTAAAAAGTGTGTTTATAAAAGGATGTGCACCACCAAAAGGAGGTACAATACCAAGAAAGAGGAAGACCTAAGACCCAGGAAATGGGATCTAACACAGGAGGGAAGAAAAATAAATTCCCAAAATGATGGTAAAGAGAAGTGTTAGCATAACAAAGAACAACCAGTTCAGAAAGGAGAAGAAACTTAAATCCAGGAGGGAAGTCTCAAGAAGAAAAAAAAATGGTACTGATAAATTAATGAGCTTTGACAATGTAGAAACCTGTCTTGAAAGGTATTTACAGAGTTACTTATGGCATAAAGATCTGGTCAGATGTTCAAAGGAAATGAAAAGAAAAAATAAGCATTATTAATGCTAGAACAAAAACAAAAAAGTACATGAAAGGAAATATGTATATCATTTATTAGGAGCAAATGATTTACAGAATCACAATAAAAACACTAAAAATGAAGCTACATAATAGAAAGTCAACATATATCCAAAACCAAATTAAGATATAGCAGTTTATGTGTGTGTGTGAGAGATTTTTTTCTGTTTCTGTTTTTTGGAGACAGTCTTGCTCTGTTGCCGCAGCTAGAATGCAGTGGCTTCATCATAGCTCACTGCAACATAAAACTCCTCAAACTTCTGGGCTCAAACGATCCTCTGTCTTAGCCTCCCAAGTAGCTGGGACTATAGGCATACGCCACCATGTCTGGCTATTTTTCCTATTTTTTGTAGAGACAAGATGGGGTCTCACTCTTACTCAGGCTGGTCTCAAACTCCTGGCCTCAAGTGATCCTCCCACCTCCTCAGCCTTCCAGAGTGCTAGGATTACAGGAGTGAGCCACCACATCCGGCCCAGTTTATTTATTTATTTTTATTTACATAATATATATGTTTTACATATATTTCATACATATAATTTAGAAAAATGTTAGTAAACATCAGGAGAAACTGCTAAGAGAGTCAAAAGTGTTTGCCCTTGGGAATCATGTTTGGTGGGCAGTAGCTGGGTAAGAAAAAACAAATTTTTTGCTATCAACTTTAAAATACAATGTGACGACCTTTTATAATACTGCATATATGTGAAAGTACAAATCTAAAACAAAAGCTATCTAATTATTTGAATCATTATGAAGGAAAAAAAAATGCCAATATTTGAATTTAACATTTTACTTATTGATGGCATTTTTTAAATTAAAGTTCTCTAGTTTCTCCTACTTAAAAAGAACCTTCATTTAACTCATTTTCTTCCACCCACTGCCCAATCTCTCCCCTCACTTCGCAGCCAAACTTCTCAGAAGTATTACCCATATTGCCCTCTCCATTTACTAACCCCCTTCTCGCTCCTGATTATTCAACGTGGCTTGCCCTCCATCCAATCAAGGGACGTAACTTCCACATCACTAAATCACGTGGACAAAAGTTGGTCCATCTGGCTATATGACTCGTAGGCAGCAACAGTTCTGTTGTTGTTCCCTCCCTGAAACACTCTCTTCGCTCAGCTTCCATGCCTCAGTCTTCCTCTGTGGCCCTCCTAACTCTATCCTTCACCTGCAGTTCTCTCCATTTCCT